CCAATTCCTTTCGATACAGTGACTCAGTATACTCCTTCCCTCTTCTTTTAATACTTCCTGGATCATTTAACATTCTGTCGAAAGCATCCTTGTTTATAGAAACTGGAGGTTTGAATTTGTTCTTCAGTTCCTCGAGCTTAAGATATGCTGAGCGAGTTCGGCCCTTTTGATTTTCTGACTCCAAGTCCTTGCACATTTCATTGTAATACAAATTACAGACATACATACAATCTTTAAAATAAGTGCATGTTTTGCTGTGTATATTCTCAATAACAATAGAATAAAAAAGTTCAAAAAGAAAATACTTTAAAAAAGATTTATAGTATCAGGGATCCTTTCAAGCAGTTCTACTCTGCCCTGCAAGTTCAGTATAAGTCGTAAACTTCTTGACTGCAACAGGTTACCAGTATAAAAAACCTGTATAGTTAAATACTAATCTTCAGTTGAACCTCCTTTACAAAATCATCTTAATATGCACCATACATTTACTGAGGATTGAGACACAAATTGACATATGGAGAGAATTTCGGCTGCCCCCTTCTTCCCCTCCCCAGCCACCCCTGCCAAATATGAAAAAGAGTATTGAACATATCATGGGCTTCAAAGAGAATAAACAGGTCTGTCCTGGAAAGGGTGAATCCAGGTTGCTCCTTGGCTAAGGATCTTGAAGCTCCATCTTACATACTTTGAGCATGTTGTCAGGAAAGGCTAGTCCCTGGAGAAGAGAATTATGCTTGAAAGTGTAGAAGTTCAGTACAGGAGAAGAAGACCTTGGATGAGAGGCATTAACACAGTGACTGTTGCAGTGGGGCAGGTGTGTCAGAGACAGTGAGGTTCGCTCAGGATAGAGGAAGACTCAGAGCCAATGTTCATAGGGTCTCTATGAATCATAGTCGACTCAACAGCTTATAACAACATGATATGCCTTATACTGTGCTGAATGCCTCAATTATGTTCACTTGTCCAAACTGACAACCAACTTTTACATCTCTGTTCTATCAAAGGACTGATTTTATATAAATTATTTATAGATAAAGTAGGTTGTTTTCATCTAGGGGCTATATAAAAGAAAATATATCACTACTTGTAAAAAAAAATATTTTCTTTTGTATGTGTACCGTGAAATCAGATCTGACTGGCATAGGAGGAGATTGCCCCTCCTTCTCCAGCAAAGCATTTGGTGGATTCGAACTGTGTACCTCTGGGATTGCAGTGCAGCTTCTGGCCACTAGTCCACCAGAGTTCCCTAAATATATCACTAATATTATAGCAGTATAAGGGAGCTCTGGTGACTTGGTAGTAAGGAACTGTGCTGCCAACCCAAAGATGCAGCTTTCAGTCCACCAGTTACTCTCCAAGGAAATGTTTGGCAATCTCCTCCCCTTTGATATACTGCAGCTAAAAATCCACTGAAAGGTCAGGCATAGGTCCAACAGGCAATATAGGGAGCTCTGAGGGCCTCGCCCTTAGGGAGCTGCACTGCTTACTGGCAGTTTGAATCCACCACATGCTCTGAGAGAGAAAGAAGGATACTGTTCTCTCCCCCTCCTTGTGATTCACAGTGTCAGAAACCCAATGGAGGGTTGACTATAAGAGCAACCCAGTTAGATGGCAATAAGTTGAGTATGTTGTGGCTATGGAACATTGAGTTGGAACTGACTCATCACTGACCCACCAGTGAATTTTCAGAGGCAATAAATCCCAAGGAAAGAGACAGCCCATCCTTCTCCTACCAAACAGCTGGTGGATTTAAACCATGTGCATTTGGGTTGGCAGTGTAGTTTCTGGCCACCTTGAGTTATTTCAAAACATCATCTTTAGAATGGCCCAGATTTCTTTTTCACAGAGACTTGAGCTATTCTATCAGAATTTTTACTGAGTCTATATTGGAGTTTAAAGTTATTCCAGTGCTTTGGCCAGGTAATAGTTTACTATCAAGAATATGTGTGATAGTGACCCTATGTACAACAGCCCTAAACCCTGCTCTATCCTGTGCCAATCTTATTGTCTTTGACACATCTACCCCCATTACTCTAGTCACTGAATTAACCCATCTCATCAAGGGTCTTCCTCTTTTGTGCTGTCCCTTTACCTTCCCAAGCATGATTTCCCTCTCCAAGGACTATTTCTTCCTTGCAACATGTCCAAAGTATGTCAGATGAAGCTTCAGAATCGTTGCCTCTAAAGTGCAGCCTGGTTTCATCCTCTCCAGGATGAACCTGTTGATTCTTTTAGTAGTCCATGGTATATTCAATACCCTTCTCCAACACCACAGCTCAAAGGCATCAACTCTCCTTCTATCATCCCTAGTCATTGTCCAGCTCTCTGAAAAATAGCAAGTGATTGCAAAGACAGTGGCCTGTATCAGGTGCACTGTAGTCTACAGACTGACATTATTGCTCTTCAGCTCTTTGGCGAGAACTCTGACAACAGGCTATCCCAACACAATTCTTCTTTTAATTTCCTGGATGCTGGTGTCAAGAGTGCTGACTAGGGAATCAAGAAAACTAAAGCTGTTAATAATCTCAATCTCCTCACCATCCATCATGATGCTGCCTATCATCCCAGTGGTGAGAATCTGTTTTCTTGATATTGCGCCTCAATCCATATTGAAGGCAGCAGTACTTGACCTTCTGCAGCAAGTGCTTCAGGTCCTCCTCAGTTTCAGCAAGTAGAGTTGTGTCATCTGCACAACGCAGATTGTCGATGACTCCAATCCTGACACCACATTTCTCCTTATAGAATCCAGCCTCCCAGATAATCTGTCCTGCATATAGATTGAAAAAGTAGGGAGATAGGACATATCCTTGGCGTACACACTTCCCAGTTTTGTCCCTTGCTCTGTCCTGATGTCTGCCCCCTGGTCCAAGTATAAAATTCACATAAGCATGATCAAGTGTTCTGGGATTCCCGTTCTTCTCAGAATTAGCCAGTTTGTTGTGGTCCACACGGTCAAATACCTTTGCATAGTCAATGAAACAGAGATAGGCATTTCCCTGCTTTCAGCCAAGATCCATCTAACATTAGCTTCAATATCCCTAGTACCATGACCTCTTCTAAACCCAGTCTGAACATCTGTCAGTTCTCTTTTGATGTAGTGTTCCAGTCGTTTTTGGAAAATCCTCAACAGACTCTTGCTTGCATGAGATATTAACGCTTTTGTTTGGTAATTTCCGCACTCTGTTGGATCACCTTTCTTTGGAATAGGACAAATGTAGATCTATTCCAGTCAGTTGGCCAGGTGGTTGTCCTCTAGATTTTTTGGCACAATTTGGTGAGTGAGCACATCTAGGACAGCATCTGTTTGTTGAAATATATGTGTCACAATTAATAGGGAGTAAATTGAATTCTGATCATTTAAAAAATTATTGTTTGGGAGTTCTGTCAAATTGGAGCTGACTCACAGCTGACCCTCCAGTGGATTTCCAGAGGCAGTTAATCACTTGGGAGTATATTGCCCTTGTTTCTATTGCATGGAGTAGCTGGAGGATTTGAACTGTGTGCCTCTGGGTTAGCAGCACAGCCCCTTACCACTAGACCATCAGAGGTCCCTAAAATGTCACAAATAGCCAAACAAAATAAAAGCAAAATTCCCATAAGAGTAAAGAATATTACAGAGATAGAAAAGAGGATTCAGAGAAATGTCAAATAGTCTGAGGGGTAAAGAATGACTTTATGCTATATTCAAATTTATGAACTACTATGTGAGTGAAATGGAACCCAGCTGTTATCTGCTGTTCACAATCAAGGGAATATAAACAGATTTAAATTACAGGAACTCTTAGAAATCTTATGAATAAAACACAATACCCCTCTTTTTAGCTATATACAGAACTAGCATACATAATTTAAAACTAAAACATTAACAAGTAGGAAAATACCTTATTATTTCTTACAGTGAAAATTTGGCTTAAAAATGTTTTGTACTAAAGTGCTTTAAGGTTTCATGTTTTAAATTTATGTATATGATATTTGGAAATGAAAATTGAGATGCTGGAGAGGAAAATTATTAAAGTCAGGGGAATGGACTAGTAGAATACCTTTTCTAGACTAGTCCCTTCTTGGTACCCATGTTCTCTTAGATAATTTCTTGAATTTGTTTTATGGGTCTGTTGAACGTCACAGCCTATTACTTTTATGTGGTAAGGTAGATAGGAAAGGTAACTAAGTGACTAAATCCATTCAACCCTAGAGGTAAGGGGTAGAATGCACCCTAGCTATCATCTAATCTAACATTTTCTTTTGCTATTTATGGAAACTGAGGCAAATTGAGTCCAAGAAACTTGACCACCTTTACCCACGTATTTAATGAAATGCTCAGATTTGCTCACATTCAGATCCCACTTAGGAGGACAACCTTGTAAGAAGTGTAACTTTAGAGATTCAGGCCCACATATACAAGTCAGTCTCCTGAGTCTCTCTGAGACAGAAAGGGAGTTAATTCCCAAATGAACTATGAAAGTGAACAAAGAAAGGACTGCAGCTGTTACCTATATGATTCCTCTTCCATAGGAAAACTGTCCTGGGAGACATAGAACTGACCTCAGCCGTTTACAGAGAAGGGCTAAGGAGTCCTCATTTTTGATTGCCTGTTTCATACTGGGATTACAATGGAATAACCAAAAACACATCGTCTCTGAAGTATACTAATTATGCAATCAAATACACAATAAAAGAGTACATAAAATATTTTTATTATAATATCTTTTTTTTAAAGAAAGGCTAACCAGCATTTTCAACTCTCTGAGCATTTAACTCTTATCATTAATATATTAAGAGTTTCTTATAAAAATAACTTTGGAGTTCTGATTTAAAAAAACAAGTAAACATTTATCTCATACAAAGTAATGTTAATTAATGAATGTTAAATGCTAGCTCTTTTTTTGTTTGTTTGCTATATTTGTTTTTTAATTTGTGATTGAAAAAGATCCTTTTGCTTGCTTTTTCATTTTAAACTGAGATTATTCTCTCCTTTTCTGATTTAGGAAAAAGTGACCCACGGAGTTTACATGCCCAGAGGTTATCTTGAACTGATACCAAATCCTAAAGACAATGAAGTGAATCACATAAGAGCAACATGTTTTAATAGTGACATAGTTCTGATGCCAGAGTTATCAACATTTAGAGTTTTGCCGTGGGCTGACAGAACTGCAAGAGTGATTTGCGATACATTCACTGTAACTGGTGAGCCTCTGCTGACTTCTCCAAGGTACATTGCAAAGAGGCAGCTGAGCCAACTGCAAGACTCTGGCTTTTCTCTGCTCTCTGCCTTTATCTATGATTTTTGCATTTTTGGTGTGCCTGAAATTATCGATTCAAAGACCATATCTTTTCCTGCTTCACCCTTACTAAATAACCATGACCAGCCCTTTATGCAGGAACTCATCGATGGTTTATATCAGACCGGAGCCAATGTTGAGAGCTTTTCCTCCTCTACCAGACCTGGTCAAATGGAAATCTGTTTTCTGCCAGAATTTGGCATCAGTGCAGCAGATAATGCATTTACTCTAAGATCAGGTGTCAAAGAAGTGGCAAGAAAATACAATTATATTGCCAGCTTTTTCATTGAGACAGGATTATGCAATTCAGGAATTTTGTCACATAGTCTCTGGGATGTCAGTGGGAAGCAAAACGTATTCTGCAGCAGTTCTGGAGTTGAACAGCTCACAATCACTGGGAAAAAATGGTTGGCAGGGCTCTTGAAACATTCTGCAGCTCTCAGCTGCCTGATGGCACCTGCTGTTAGTTGCCGAAAGCGCTATTCCAAAGAGAGCAAAGACCTAAAGGAGAGTGTGCCCACAACTTGGGGATACAATGATAACAGCTGTGCTTTTAACATCAAATGTCATGGAGAGAAAGGTGCCCGGATAGAAAATAAACTAGGCTCAGCAACAGCAAACCCTTACCTGGTGCTGGCTGCTACTATTGCTGCAGGCTTGGATGGTCTTCAAAGCAGTGATGGTGTCTTGGCTGATCAAGATGATAGCACAGACCTTTATCATGCAAAACCCTCTGAAATTCCTTTGAAACTGGAAGATGCCCTTGTAGCATTAGAAGAGGATCAGTGTCTGAGACAGGCTCTAGGAGAGACTTTCATTCGATATTTTGTTGCCATGAAGAAATATGAATTGGAAAATGAAGAAATTGATGCTGAGAGAGATAAATTTTTAGAGTATTTTATTTAGATTAAATACTTAAGCACTCCTTTAGAGATGTAATGATTACTCAAGCAGCCGATCTACCAGGAAGAAGATTGGGGGCAGGGGTGGGGGGAAGTTACATATTTTAATCCCAATGGAATAGTTGATGGAAACAAACAATAAAGTTGTTATGAAACTGTAGTATGCAAACATACCAGAACTTGTCAGGTAGTCATTATTTCTTATATGTTTCTGTATGTTGAGCAAAACATGAATATCTGGTGTTGTTGGGCAATAGATTCAAACATTTTTTAAAAAGATTTAAACATTAACAAAAAGTTAAATTATTTAAACATGAGAAAATGAATTTCAATTATGCATATAGGTTGAGACAAAATTGTCTTTTAATATAATTTCACGATCAAGACATAAAGAGCCCTAATAGCCTAATGGTAAGAAATTGCATTGTAATACCAATGGCACACAGTTCCAATCCACCAGCTGCTCCACCGGAGAAGGACGAGCAATCTCCTTTTGTGTGATTAACTGTCTCTGAAAACCCACTGGAGGGTCTGCTAAAGGTCAGTTCTGACTTGATGATACACAACAACAGTGGTACAGTAGCTAAGCACGTGATTGTTCACCAAAGGTTGACAGTTCATAGCATCAGCCACTTTGCGAGAGAATTAAGTTGCATAAAGGTTAATAGCCTTAGAAACACGACAGTCTGTTTTATAGGGTAGCTATGAATTTCAAATGACTTTATGGTAGCGAGTTTGAGGTTGGACATTTTGTTGTTGTCATTCCATTTGGCTTTTGGAGTCAAGATATATTTTGGTTCATGTGCTGCCAAAGTGAGCACAGGAATCAAGATATATTGATGATTTTGTTTGCAGACATCATTGTATACTTTGGAAATAAGTAAAATAATAAATCATAGAGATAAATCTGCACGAGTTTTACATATCACTGCCTTTTTAAAAACTTTTATTAATTTTAATGAACATTTACAGAGATTTTGGATTTTCATTCATTTATTGTTGCACTTTTTTCTTTACCTCCTTCCCCCAGTTCGCTCCTCTCTTTGAAACATTTCTCTCTTCTTTCTTTTGAATCTTTCAAAGCTTCAAAGCTACAATTGTTTGTTGTATACTGTTGAGTTGGAATTGACCATACCTGACCCTCCAGCAGGTTGTCAGAAGCAGTTAAGCGCATGGGAGGAGATTTACATCCTCCCACAGAGCAGCTGGTAGCCTCAAACCGCTTTCCTTCCAGACTGCAGCACAGCAACTTGCCACTAGGCTACCAGAGTCCCAGACTTTAATAATTCAGTTCAGGAGGCTGCTTCTTGTGTTTATGTGCTGTTGAGTCAGAACTAACTCATAGCTGACCCTCTAGTGGGTTTTCAGAGGCAGTAAATAACGTAAAACGAAATTGCTCATCTTTTCCCCATGGATTAGCTGGAGGATTCAAACTGCCTGCCTTTGGTATTGCAGCACAGTTTACATCTAAGACATCAGAGCTTCTAGAAGTCCGAATACGGGACATTGGTTATGGGGAGGGCTCTGTGTTGGCCCAGAGGGAAAATCCTGTTCCTGTTCCCTTTCAGCTTCTGTAAACCCAGTGCTCTGTGGAAATCTTCATATGGCATCTATCTTCCTCAGTATGTACTCACATCTATGTCATATCTGCCCTTTTTATAACAAAGAAATGAGTGGGGTAAAGCACATCATGTACCGACTGATATAGCTTCATTGGTTTAACATATAAAAATTGTATTCCAAATGTCCAAAGGGAGAGGAGTTAGGATTCCAACACACTTTCTCTCTCTCACACACAAACACATGTACACACTCATTGCATTTGAGCAGAATTCATCCTATGCCTGCAGACAGAGCTTTTCTTTAAAAAGTGCCTCATGTAGGCAGCACAGAGGGAGTGTAAAGTAGAGTAATACAATTTGCCTGCATTGCCTGATTCCCATTTGTTGCCCGAGACAGCACTTTGAAACTTGTGAAATTCCATGGAGTATGAGAACAACCGCCTAATTAACAACAGCTATATTTACTGCTTACGCTTGTTTTTAGATTACACATTCTGTGACCTGCAGGGTGGATATCTCTTCAAAGAATACTAAAGTATCCAGTGTTATCACATTTTTGTTAGAATGTGATAATATTGCAACCCTCACTAAAGTATAGCTTCCATTGGGACTCAGTCCAAAATCTACTTACTAGAAAATGAAAACACTATTCTACTTAGGACAAAACAGGAGATTTTGTGTTCAATTAAAACTGACTATGATCTCAATTAGATGAGAACACACAAGCAGAGGGCTTGAATTTGGCTTAGATCCTGCTATTAAAATTCTTGGTAACTATAACAGTGACTGTGGGGCTGTTATTTACTAATTGTTCTTCTCCTTGAAGAAGTGTGTTTGCAAACATCAGAATAAAGTTTGAGCTATGTGATAGAGAGAGAAAGAGGGGAAAAAGTCTCCAGGAACAAAACTTCAAACATTACATTGTTGGCTCCGGCAGCTTGCTAGGGATCTGCCATTATTCATTCAGTCCTCATGAAGTAGAACCTCAATGTGTTAATTGGAAGCACATTATACAAAATAAATTCCACATTCCTGAGTTCCATTGTGGCTGAATGAGCTAATGATATTAGGTTCGGGCCAAGGAAATGTTACTAAAAGTAGGTGGAGTTTGGTGACCTAGTGGCAAAAAGTTACATTCAATCCCAAAGGCACAAGGTTCGAGACCATCAGCTGCTCCATGGGAGAAGAATGGGCAGTCTCCTTCCATTTGATTAATTGCCTCTGAAAACCTGCTGGAGGGTCAGCTATGGATTGGTTCCTATTCAATGGTACAAAACAATGACAACAACAACAACATGGAGACTTCTTGGAAATTTCCTTAAGACAAGTGTATTCCCTGCCCTTTCTCTTTCTTTCATTTCCTTAGCTACCGGATGGCCTGTAAGTAATGTGGTTAGTGATTAGTGCCATTCCCCTGGAAGTGGAGATGCACTTTAGAATAGAAACCACTAAATGTGGAACTGATAAGGTAGAAGCTCTATGTAAAGAAAGACGCAGAATGGGAAGGGAGTAGGGAGAGAGGAAGGAAAGAGAGGCGAAAAAAGGGGGGGAGAAGGGAGGAAAAAAAGGGAGAAGGGAGGGAGTGGGTATATGGGGGAAGGACAGAGAAAGAAAAAAAAAACACCAAAATGGATTTCAGAAGAGATCTTGAAAATTATACTAGAGTGTTGAGAAGCCAAAACAAAGGGAGGAGATATTGAAGTATAAGTGCTGAATAGAAGATCAAAGAACAGCTCAAGAAGATAAAGTATGATAATGGTATATGCAGAGACCTAGAAGTGGAGGTGGGGAAAAGGGAAGAACTTGTGTGGCATTTCTCAAACAAATTCAAGTTTTGAGCTGTAATACTTAGAGATGCTATGGGCAAAAATCTGGACTTGGGACTGTGGGAGGGGTACAGGGGGATTGTGTACCAGGGAGGGAGTGTTTCTTTTACTTTTAAAAGAGAGGAGTGAACTGGGTGGGCAGGTGGGGCGGGGGTGAGGCCTGGGTAGGTAGAGAAGTGCAGCAATGAATGAATGGAAATAAAAAAAAACAAAGAAGAACATGGTGAGAATACACAGTGTCACTGTACCAAAGATAATTGGCCAACACTGAAATATTTCAGGAAGTACCCTATGATCAAGATCCAGTGATAACCAAGGAGGAATTTGAAGTTGCAATGAAGGCATTGGCAAAAATTAAGACCCCAGGAATTGATGAGATTCCAATTGATATTCAAATGACAGATGCAGCCTTGGACATCTTCACCAGTCTATGCCAGGAATTTTGGAGGACAGCTGCCTGGCCAACTGGCTATAAGAGATCCATATTCTTTCCCACCCCCAAGAAAGGTGATCCAAACAATTGAATGTGGAAATTATGAAACAATATCATTAAAATAATATGAAAGCAAAATATTACTGAAAATTATTTTTTTAAAACCCCCATCTAGAATAGTACATAGAGAACTGCAGAAATTCAAGGTGGATTTAGAAGAAGCCATCATTTTTGATGTCAGATGTTGTTGTGGGCCATCAAGTTGAGCACGACTCATAGCCACCCTATGAACAAAAGATCTGAACTCTGTTCTATTCTGTGCCATCCTCACACCTCCTGACACACAAGAGCTCATTGTGAAGAATACTAATAAAAAAATTAAAAAGAGCCCATTGTGGCAGTCACCGCACCAATCCACCTTGTCAAGGGTCTTCCTTTCTTTCACTGACCCTCCACCCTTCCTCACATCTCATCATTCTTCCCTCCAGAGAATATTCTGGCTGCAGCCTCTCCAAGACATATCTTTTCATTCTCTTGACCACCCATGGGATGTTCAGTGCTCTTCTCCAACACCATAGCTCAAAGGCATCAATTCTTCTCCTGCCATCCTTAGTCACTGTCCAGCTCTCAGATGTATAGAAAGTGATTCAAAAGATTATGGCCTGAATCAGATGCACCTTAATCCTCAAACTTACATCATTATTCTTCAATAATTTAAAGTCCTTAACTGCAAATTTTCCTATGTGTCTCCTTATTTCCTGACTGCTGATACCAAGGGTGTTAATTATGGATTCAAGCAAAATGAAGTTGATAGTTTCAATCTCTTCTCCATCCATCATGATGTTGCCTTTCAATCCAGTGGTAAGAATCTATGTTTTCTTGACATTGAGATGTAATTCCTACTGACGGCTGCATTATTTGATCTTCTGCAACAAGTACTTCAAGTTTTCCTCACTTTCAGAAGTCTGATTAAATGTCAGATGAATTCTGGCTAAAAGCAAAGAATACCAGAAGAGTATCTATTTGTATTTTATTGACTATGCAAAGGTGTTTTGGGTTTTGGGGTTTGTTTTTCTTCTTCAATATACAAAGGTATTTGACTGTGTGGATCACAAACAATTATAACTAACGTTGATAAGAATTGAAATTCCAGACCACTTAATTGTGCTCATGTGCAACCTAT